CCTACAAGAGTGTCCCACAAGAGTTTCCTACAAGAGTGTCCTATAAGAGTGTCCCACAAGAGTGTCCTACAAGAGTGTCCTACAAGAGTGTCCCACAAGAGTGTCCCGCAAGAGTGTCCCACAAGAGTGTCCCGCAACAGTGTCCCGCAAGAGTGTCTCACAAGAGTGTCCCTTAAGAGTGTCCCAAAAGAGTGTCCCACAAGAGTGTCCCACAAGAGTGTCTCACAAGAGTGTCCCACAAGAGTGTCCTACAAGAGTGTCATTTGGACATATGTAGCTTATCGAACGTGTTTGCATTCGGGTTCGTGGGCTCCATCTTGTTTGATCTTTTAATGTTTGCTCCCGTCTTTGGAGATTGTCAAAGGACATCCACATGAGGCGGTTGCCACATTGCACATGAGTGTGGAACTTGCCCCCCCTGGGCGAGTCATCACATTGGGCAGTGGCCAACCAGATGAAGTTCCAAAGGACCTAAGGTTGCGCCAGACGCTAAGCTAGAGGCTAGAAGAAGAATTCGCATGCTGCCAACTTGCCGAAGGGCAATGCACAATACATATTACATATCGTATACACATGTCACACATGTTACACATGTGCTTTCATGCAGATCGCATCGATCGTCTAGTTCGCAATGGTTTTTCACATCATGGCGAACGCGAACTCCGCGCTCAGGTATGGCTCCTCTGGACGTGGTCTGTTCACCACACCTCAAAAATTTCCAGGCCGCTGCAGAAGCGGAGCTTCCGAAGCTGCTGGAGGGCGCCCGAAGCTCAACGAGCGGTTTCGGGGTTTCACGGAAGTTGGCACGAGCGCGCCTGGCGCAAGCGTGTGCATTCGGTGTTCGGCTGTGGCGTACAGCGAGGGGTTCTTGTGATGTCTTATGTTTTTGGAGAGCCCCCCAAAATTTGTCGTCCTGAAGATTTCACCTGGAGCTGGGGGGGTTGAAGGGGGCTGTGGCACAAGCATTCTTTTCCTTCACATGAACACCACGCTGTTGTTATGTCCAACACCTATGGCACGCAATTGAGAACAATCTCAGGCATTGAATTGGTGTGGCCCCATCAACCACTACAGACCCAAGTCCATGAGGCGCGCTTCAATGATTTCTACTTTACAAAAACTGCAAACAGTAAACCCCCCTGCGTTTCGATAGCGCTGGCAGTCCTCCACCCTGAAACACCCGACCGTCGTGTGTTCCTCGAGCTGTCTGACAGCAACACCCATGATTTGATAAGCCCTGCTGCACTTGACACTGGTCGTGCCTGACCAAATTTCTTCAACTCACCCAGAATCTTCCTAGCCAATACCATGGGACCACGGAAGAGGCTGGCCTTTCCAAATCTTGTGGATTACAGCTTGGTAGCTGAAGGCATGAAGTCGCCTCTTGAGGATGCTTAGTCCAAACCCCCGTGAACCTTTGGCATTTTGAGTCCCCAAGTGTAGTGTAGCTTCTTGTTACTAGAAGCTTCTGTAGTAACGCCAGGAGCTACAGTAGCTTCTTGCTCCTAGTAGCGATGCCAGGAGCCCGTAGCTTCCCAGTAACCGGGTGCCTGCCTTTCGGTGATGTGCCCAATCTTGGACTTGCACACCCCAAAAACATGGGCCGTTCGACTCCAAGGATCGCGGCTGAAAGCACCTCTCAAGGTGAGTATATACCTAGAGCCCGACACCTGGTTTTGATGGGAAAAGACTCAAAGACCAAACAGATGTCGTTTGGGTTGACTGGACCATCCGACTTAAGGAGAAGGTGCTGGATGGTACTGCTCCTTCCACAGCCGGGCCATGGGCACCATCAAGCGCGAGGACGCCATGCAGGTCTTAAAGCAGGTGGGTGCATGCGAAAGAACGGTTTCCAACCGGTGGTGGGACATCCGGATCACATTGAAGGTGACTTCTTTTTTTGTAATCATGTGGAAGAATGTGGAGCATGGGTCGAAAGATGCCAAACAGATACACTGATACACCACAACCAAGCGAGGCAGCCATGTTTTCATACATAAATGTTGCGTGATGAGGTTGGACAAATGGAGGGCCCTTCAAGCTTCTGAAGGTCTCCGACATCATTTTGATAAAACTGCGATCCACTGCCATGTGTATGATATCAATAGCAGCTAGATGCTGCTGGACCCTTCTTAGATGGGAACCTCAACCGGAGCTGGACGAATCTGCAGGGAAGGGGAATGCATCTGCAGAGCGCCCCATCTTGTGCAACCAGGGATCATGTGGATTCAGTGCCAATAGTGATATTTGATGGAAGGAAACACGTTTCCAATGGCCCCAAGATGTCTCTCTTACCAAAGGTCGTCCCTATAGCCGTGGTTTAGAGACGCAAGAACCGAGCTTTTCTGCGGTGTTTTCCCAACTGCGCTTGCGCCTTCTCTTTTTGGTGGAGAAGGCTGTCAGACAATGTCCAAATCATCTCTGGCGTGACTGGCAGACTCGCTGACCTGACGCTTCTTGGGGAGAGGCATCCAGAGGACGCAGCAGACTCCGGGCGGTTGAGACGCCGGCGCTTGAGGTGATGGCTCCCCTGAAGTTGGAGCTGTCGGTGTCCGAGGCGGAGTATATGATCCTCATAGAGGTGGGAAGCTGGGCTTCGTGAAGTCTTCAGAACTAACACATGGTCAGAAGCTGGTGTTGGGACGAAAGCGGAGCTGGAGAAAAGGGGATGTCCAAAGGCGGGTTTGAACGAAAAGGAACGGAGTCGGTTCCGCGAGTCGGTGAAACTCGTCGGTTCCGGAGGTGAATCCAATCCTTTGCGGCTTTGCGGTGCTGAAGGATTATGAAGGACAGCTTCATGAGTGTCACTTGCAGAAGCTTGGTCATGAGTGCACCAAGACTGGACACAGTCCAACTTCCGCTCACCTTCCTGCTTGTTTGGAGGAGTGGAGTATTTTTGGAGTATGAGAAAGCACCACAATTGTGCCATAGTTTTGGCTCAACGACTCACCGTGCTTGACGATCCAACCATCCAACGATCCACAATGTGCAGGCCAACAATTTTGAGGATCTTCTAGTATATACATCCAAATTGTGGTGTTCAGCAAAGAGTGTTGACACAAACTTTAGATTTTTCATGTTCCAAGTTTCTCAAAGCATTTGTCACATGACAGGGAATGGACATGCATATTTCCACGGCACATTTTGACCTCCCAAACCAATCGTCAGTAGTCAAACGGACCTCAAATCCATCCAACATTTTGGTGATCCAACGCCAAGCGAGGAACGCTTCGGAAGCCTTCGAACACGACGCCGCCAGCGAGCCCCTGTCGGACGACGAGGGCTCCGAGAGTGAAGCGCCCGACGAGCCCGACGAGCCTGCCCGGGCTGAGGAGACCCATGAGGCTGAGTAGCAAAAGAAGCGATTTTCCAGGGTGAGCACAGGAACTACTGGACTTTCTGAATCCCCAACGGAGTCAGGGGGCTGAGCTGGTTGGGAGATCCCTGAGAACATTTGGCCTTTGGTTCATGACTGGGATCCGAGGTACTGTTAGGATGGAACAAAGACCAAAGCCGCAGTCCTCTTGATGTTTTAGGATTCAGCTATGGGACGTTGCGGAACTCTCGAACACCCCAAGGCTGCCTTTCTCCCAAAGTTGCAGGGTTGAAGTGGCAGAAAGCCTAGCCAATACCCTGGTGAATCTCAACTCATAATAGGTTTGCCATCCATTTCTGCAAGCGTTTCCTTGTGATGAATGTGTGGATGGCAGATTCCATTCGCCGCCGACGTCTGGCTTAGCAGCCTTAGGAGCAAGCCTTGCCTGGCCCAATGCGGGAAAGAAAAAAGGATTGGAGCTGTCTAATACGAAGCCTGAGACACACATGGCTCTGCAATGGATCGCTTGAAGCAGAGAGCTACTCTGCTGTGGACACTCATTTGGTGGACTTTTCATCAACAGCTGCTGACTCTTGATGTTTTCCCCATAGACCGATCAATGGTATATTTGAAAGGACTGGACCCGACGTTGAGGAATTTGGGGTAACTTGATGCTTTGTTAATGTAGAAAGCACCATGGTCATTCGCCATGGCCACCCTCTACACATGTCCAGCCTGAACCTCAGTGTTTCGCTCCTTGTCGTTGGAACATGGTGTCTACGACTGTGTAAATGCTTCGAGCGACCAACGACCCGTCAAGGCTGTAGTCTCTGAAGGTCGTTGACCGTCTCGTTGACCGTCGAAAGGGCTATGACCTACTGTACCATCGAAAGAAACATAGTCTGGCACTCCTGAGCACAACGGCAGAAAGGGCAGAAAGGACCGGCAGCGGTCACAACTGGCCGTGGAAGTGTTCCTGTCTCCTGATAAACACAGCGGCTGAGTCAAAAATCCTATCTACTGTAAGCCCTCAGGATGTGCTAGTTGTGTTTCGGCCTGGCAGGCGCTGGGTGCACACTCCATCACTGAATCTCACGGGCATGCATATCCGCCCACTCAGGCTCCAATGTCAAATTTGCTCCTTCCGCGTAAACACCAACGCTGTAATTCCGCCATCTGGATCCTCGTGGTGATGGTGTCCAAAAAAAGTCTTGTCTGCTGCGTCCTCATGCTTAGCTTGCTCGTGTTTGATTACAGTGATGGCAAACACGTAACCATATTTTGACGTCCCTGTAATGGTACGCATTTGCTCACTTCCCTACCTGGGGTTGTTGGAAAGATACGTTTGTCTGATGAAGTTGTCTTATGAGGCTGCTTTCCTGGAAGGCTGCAGACTCACTCAACACAACAACATATTGGGCATTGAGAATGTTGTCCATTTCAGAGGCATGCATATGAGGGCTTTTAAGCATGTATACAAATACGAAGCACACGCTCCAAGTTGCTTCAGACGGCTGAAACGACGAAGTATAGGGGGCCAGATGAGACCAAGCCTGGCGGGGTTTGATGCCAAGCAGAGGCCATTGCTGGGTTTAGGGCCGCCCATGCCCAACAGACGGTTGGCCTGTGGTAACTGGAGGTATGGCCAACACTGCACATGAAAGGAACCACTGTTGGGGGCTTCACTCGATACGGCCAGAGATCTTGAGGCGGAGCCTTGGGCCGGTGTTGATGGTGCTGGCCTCAAGACGCGGTGTCCTACCAGCTGAGAAGATGTAGGAGTCCAGTTACGCCCCATGGTTTTCGGCTGGAGATCAAGTCTTTCCTTTGCAAACCCTATGCTGAGTCTTCTGGTTCGTCCATACAAAAGATGTTACTGTCTCCACTCAGACAACCACTGAGGTTTTGAGAAGTTTGTTCTCACTTGGCCAAAGCTTCTCAGTGATGAATGCACCTCAGGCACCTCAGGTGAATCCAGCTGTACAGCATCCCCCGGTGCGGTGGCCCATTGGCGCAACCGGTGCAACATGTGTTGGGCTCAATCTCCTGAGCACACATCCTATCCAGAATCCAGAGCCTTGTGAGGAATATATCGACCGAGCCTCGTCAGGTCAGAACATCTCAAGACGGCAAGGACCTACTGAGCTGTTCTCACACTTTGTAGGTAGATGTAGGTAGGTCCAGTAGATCATTTGGCCGCGATAGGAAGGGGTCCAGCTGGTTGGTGTTGTTTGAAGTGTTTGGGTTTCTTAGCCTGTAGCTGGGATCCGGGAGTTCCAAGCTTCTTGGATCGCCCCCCCCCCCGCACGGATGCGTTTGGGACTGACGCGAGGCCAGGTGAGCTCCCGCTCCGACCGCAGCTCTGACCACACTTCGGACCCAGGCACCGCGCCGGGCCGCGCGGCAGAGCGCGAGGAAAGCGGCTTCGGTGAATTGATGGTGTTCCAGTGTTCCAATGGGATGTTCTTGGTTTTTGTTACAGTATTTTCTTTTTCCATGCAACACTGCACTGGAGGATCGCAGACGAACGTCTGAATGTTCCGGGATGTTTCCATGCGTTTTCTACGGGAGGATCTTTTGAACATCCGAGTAAAAGATAGATTCTCGATGATTCTTGATGGAAAATACTCCAGGGCTCGATCTAGTGGCCCTCCTTTGAAGACATTTTGACCACAGATTTGACGATATATGTACTGTAATTATCATATAGCGAACAGATTCATTCTGGATGTGGCTCTTATCCTGGATATTTATGATATGTATATGTATGTGCCCAAGAAGACCGTCCAAACGGATGATCATCAACTTCTGATGGGCTACTCACGGTGTGATGGACCTGGGAGACCTGCGAGGCCGAAACGATGTAGACCTGCGAGGTGGGCTGTTTAGGGTGTGGGGATCGCCGTTGGCGGTGTTGTCTCACAACTTAGATTGGTGTCTCAACATGCTACAAGCAGTTCAGTTCAGTTTCGGAGATGATCCATAGTTGGAACAGGGAATGGCTGGAACCAGTGCCATGATGGAATTTTGGGGATGGAGGCAAGCGAGAACCCTGCGTACTTGGAGTGACACCCCAGTTCAACAAACCATGCTCAGCGGCCAAGTCTGTTGAGAGGCTCCGAATGGCTCCTAGCTGGCACAATGTGTGGGTCAAAATCCTAAAGCCCTACAGCATCGGAAGAACAGCGGAGCATTGGATTGTCTTGATTCATCTCCTTTATTAAGCGGAAATTGGTACTCAGAATCATGGCAAATTGGTCCATCTTCCACGGGTCACGGGGCCATCTGCTATATGGCAAACGGTGGTTCAAGAAGGACCCTCTTGATGAGGGTTGCTGAACGAAGGACTGGAAGGAGTTGTTCGGTGCTGCATACTAGTTTGAGCCACCGGAATCAAACGTCCTATAAGCGGGCGCAAGGGTTCTTAGGGGTTCTTAGGGGTTCTTAAGGGTTCCTAGGACCTAGCTATAACATGACCTTGCTTCACGAACTGTTTGGTCATTTTCCAGAGAAAGATCTTCCACTTTGCCCACCGGTCGGAGAATGTTTGGTCCTTTTCGGCTTGAACCATGTCCTTTTCGGTGACCGGGGGTTCCCTATAAGTTAGGTGACCAAGGTTGGTCCCAAGAGATGCCTCCCTCCTTGACTGCGACGAAGGTAGGGAATTCAGGGAATGAGCGAATGAAAACAAGCAGCCACCCTGGCCACCCTCATTCCGAGGTCGCACCTACGTCAGTCGTTTTGGCGTTTTCTTCGCGTGATTGCGAACCGCGTGTCGAGCCGATCGATTCCACCGGTGTCTAAGTCGCCTTGGAAGTCAGGTCTCAACTGCTGGCTTCCAAAGGTTCGCAGCTTAGCCCGTGAGTCAGTGGCATGACCTTGCGTGCTCAGCTGAGATTCTGCGTATTCCTTCGCCGAAGGGTCCTTCAGTTTCTGTGATTTCTGAAAGGCAGTGCCCTTCAGAAGGGCTTATAGAGATCCACTTGTGCGACTTGTTTTGAAGTCGCCTTCTCTTGATTTCTCTTGAACTTTTAAACGCATCGGTTTCCTCTGAATCTTGCGACCAAGACCATGGCCTCCGGACCCTCTCGGACCCTCTATGCTGAGCTTCATGTTTCCAGACAGAAAGGGTGAGCCGGTGTTCCTTCCCTGCCAAGCACCTGGTTGGTCTATAGCCTCGGGGGGACATGTCACGAGCAAGAGGACCAGCTTCTCAGATCATTTAAAACAATTTTATATCCTATTCCTATTGGTCTTCAAAGGCCAAGCAGCAACAACAGGTGAGAATGAATTGGTATCCGGTCTTCAAGCATTTTCACCAGCTTCATTGTTGCTACAAGACTAATGACACGCAAACCTTCGCTCTCTGTGGATCACCAGTCACTTCGCCCAGCTCGCCCAGCTCGCCCAGCTGCCAAAGAAGCAGCACTCCTGGCGAGACAGGGAATTCAAGAGTGGATCCCTTTCCTGGAACAAAGAACGAAGACATTGTTGATAGCGCCATCAGTGGAGTGAAGAAAATGAATGTATATTCTTAGCCTCTTTCTCTGAGTCTTTTCGTTTGAGACAGTGAAAGGGTGATTGAGCAACAATGCAGACGAGCTCGACAGCATGGACCAATCAGATCGGTCTTTCAATCTTTCTGAAGAGAACCCTTCATTCATGACAGATGGCGAGACCACAGGCGGGGCCAGAATGGTGAGGAGTTGTTGAAGCCAGTGTCTTTGCCAGGAACATGGTTTTGCGTTGGGAAGACCTTCTTGTGTAACTCAACACATCCAAGGAGTTCTTGGTTCCGCAAGAACAGGGCTAGGCCTGTGGATGGCTGTGGCTCATTTCAACACCACAGTACTATGTCCCCAAGCAGATGACCCAATTCAGTTGCCTGTTCGGATCCTCTTCGGATTGGTCACCGAGAACCGCCTTCCGAGTGTCAACCTCCGCAGGGCAGCCACGACCAGGAAAGTCTTCCAGCATCCAGCTGAAAGACTTTCCCAATCCGATGATTGACATGAGACCAATGTGGGTTAGATAGTTCTCATCCGATTTTGAATCGGGTCGATCAGGTGGATATGTAACAGCAAAAATCAGATGACGAACGTCATAAACCACCTACAAGCATCCTTTCAACATCTCTCAACTTTGCGCAGGCTGTCATAGCCTGCTGGGCCGCTGTAGCTGCCGCAGCGGTGGTCGAGGACCTGCGTGACCCACGACTCGCATTGTGGCCTGGCAACGATGTGAGGATGGTTCGATGTGAGAATTCAATGGCCTCCGCCTCCAACCTAATAGCAAAAGGAACCTAATAGATATGGCCTCCAACCTCAAGATGGACGAGTACAGTACAGAATCACGTCAGAGAGGTTAAGAAAGCCTTGCAACATCTCGCAGCATCTCGCCAAAACGCAACTTGTTTTTATTCCTTTCCCCATGTATATATATATATAATTCCCCGTATACTGTCCTTACTCGACCAGTTCCTGACCTGGCAGGGTTTAGAAGAACATTGTCTGCCAACTGGTGCATGGTGTTCAAAAACGATGACTGAACCACGTAAACGATGCCTTAAGTGGCTTCCAAGTAATTGAGTACAAATCACGAATGAATGAGATTCTGTACTTGGTAGACATGCTGATCGCAAATTTGTGGACTTTGCTTATTTGGACTCCGTAGATGAAATCTCAGGCGCGGTCTCTCCATGCTTATTTGAGTTTTTCCAAGTCTCCATGATATGCCATGATCAAACTTGGCACCAAGGTTGTGCCATGGGTGTTAGTTCGCCGATGCGTTGCAGATAGCTCTTCTGGTGCACCTCTTTGAACCCTCCCCTCCTACCCGGGGAAGTGTTTGTTTCCTGCACATGACCGAAGAAAAGAGCCGGTGATCTGCCCACAAGTGTTGATGCCCTTGGTGGTGCCGAGTTTTTCATCGATGTGAAGAGGAAAAGAGGTCGATGACTTCGAAAGGGGTCCGGGACGAAAGAACGGGAGTCCCTTGGATTGGTATACCAGAATAGATTGAATAGATCCAGTACCTCCTGAAATCTCATACTTTAGGCACGGATCAATACTTCTGGACGAGAACTCGCTGGAAGTGACTGATAGATCTTCAGGTCTAGCAGCATTGCTGAAGACCTTGCGCTAAGTGACCTGCAATCGAAATGGATTCAACCCATGTCCACGCTACCCAAGAACAGACGACGTTTATGTCGCCCCAGAGAACTTGCCATTGATGGGCTGCCTGGTATACGATACGATGAAACAAGCCAAAAACCAATCAGCACGCATAAGCCAATGGACCCTGTGCATTGAACTTACCCTGTTCAACTTGTTCTGAAATTCTTTTCTTTCGAAACCGGGACCCTGTTTTGGCTCAACAGCATGTGCAAGGACAAACCCCGAAAGAAGCTCAACCACGAAACCATCGCCCTCGCCACGGAAGGTATCTTCCGAAACATCTGCGGGACGCCGCGCAGTACCGGAGCGCGGTCCAACGGATCCTTCGGAGCGTCCAGGAGGCGGATCCGGGAACCGGGCGGAACCGGGTGGGTGCTGGTTGTAAGAAACCATGGGATCTGCGCCTTGGGGAGGAGTTGATAGGTGGTTATAGGCTTTGGCCTACACTATCTAGTGAAAGCTCAAATGTGGAGAACTGGGTGGATGCTGGGGTATTCCTTCAAGTCCGACTGTAATCAAGTGTCGATTCAGAGAAGGAATGACGGCCTTTTCATGAGTCCTCACTTGTCAACTTTTTTTTTGGGGGGGAAATTGTTATATAAGCGGATAAGCCGGGCCCGGGGGTTGATCGAGGGTGCTCACCAGCATGACCCTTAAAGCTCTAGTTCTTGAGATGTTCTAGCGTGCGTTTTGATTGCGCACGCTTGCACGGCCCATTTTTGCCGCATGGGACACGAACCGAGAACCCTTCTCTCATCGAAAAAGAGCCTGTTGAACTTCCTCAGTCTGGATGTTTTGATGTTAGTAGAAGCCACTGCCCACACCATGAAGACTACATGCGTTAGGGCTATGCAAACTCCATAGTGGAATTGCCGCACGTCACGGTGTGTTTTAAGCCTCGTTGCGACAAATTTGCCAATGATTTGCGAAGAATGTACAACAAGGCCACTAGAGTCATAAAGTGCGACTCACCACCAAAATCGTCCGACAACTGCGCTGCAATAACACTCTAAAAACCCACCGGCATCCTTTCTTGACGCTGGCCTCGCCCAGGTTGGCCTCATCCCCAAGCAGCCGCTGCCACAGTTGCGGCGGAGGATGCTGCGGCGCCGCAGCGCAGCGGTGCTGGAGCAGGCGCCATGTGCGGTGAAACTTGGAAAACAAACACTGTGGAGAGGCGCACACACTTGGGCAGCTGGTTTTGTGTATCGCTCGCGGCCAGATTGCAATACAACTTATATAGAGGCAAAAAAGAATGATAGAAAGAAGTAACAAAAGAGGAGGAATATGGAAAACTACAATAAGAGGAAACAACATACTGTATTTAAATAGACAAAGAGCAAAAAAGAAAGAACAGGACAGTGAACGCAATTTTGGGGTGGCAGTAAAAACGATGACACTTTGTGTCTGAAAGCCATACTATTTCTTGGTTGGGGAGTGTTCCGCCAGCTGGGATTTCAACTCAAAGTATTCATCACTTGTAGTATAGCTTAGTGTAGCCCCAAAAAACTTTCACCATCCACTGGAATCCTGAAATCTAAAGCTGCCCAGACCTACCGCCTTCAGCGTGAGCATCCAAGGAGTGTGCACTATGGGCGTGAGTGCTTGGAGGAAGCGTTGAAGGCCAGGCTGGAAGGGGCCTGGCATTGGTTCTTAGAGCCAAACCCACCGGTGTTTGACAGGCGGCCGAGGAGTCCCGGATCTGGGTGGACTCCGTGCTTTCGGCAGAGAACGGAGAACGGATCGAGAACGTCCAGGCGCACGAGACCATCAGTGTGAGGGATGTTTGCGTGGTGAATGAGATGGTTTGAGGGTGGGGAAGAGTCGTCAAATCGCACATGTTTGTGGCTCAAGGTGTGAGTGGCGCAGGGGTGAACATTTTTGGAGAGTTTGGCACTGGAAGTGAGATGTTCAGAAGAGATGCTCAGGGATACGCGGATCAGGAAGTAATTCATGACATGAAGGTTGAGGCATGTTGAGGCCAAAATATGCTGCAAATTGCAAGGGATTTTGCAGCAGAAGTGGGGCGTAGGAAAGGTGAGTAGCGCTGGTCAAAGCATTCTAGAGGCACTTTGGAGCCAATAGAATAGCAACAAACATAACTTTAATTGGGTATATATATGGTTTGTAGGTGGAAAATTCAAATTTGCATCAGCCCCAGTGTTCAAGGCAGAACAACATTGCCAGATGTATTGAATCTTGTTCAGCCACCTGTTGACACCGTCTTTTTTCAACCCAACCCTTCACTGGGACTCCCTGTCTTCTTCGATGTCTTTCTCGGGCTTCCTCCGCAGGCACAACGGTCTTCTTCGCTTCCGGTGCAATCCATCCGCTTCGCCTCGGCTCGGCGCGCCGCCCAGGTCTATCGCCCCGGGTCGGCGGCGTTGGCGAAGCTGTTGCTCCGCGAGGGCGGCGTGCGCTTCGTCGTTGCCTGGCCCAGCTGCAGCTTGGAGTCCTTGGAGCCGCCGGCAGTGGTGCTGGTGACTTGGAGGATCATCGTTCGGGGAGGAGTAAGACACCTCGGACCAGGTTTAGGGCATTCCCTAGTTTGTTTTGGTTGCTTCGGAGCTGTTGCGGCAAAGTCATTTGAGAACTGGTACAGTTTTTGCTGTTAGCTTCGTCTGTGGCTTGTGGTCTTGTGGCGTGGGTATGCACAGCCAGCCATGGAAAGCATGACTCAAAAAGCGCCTGCCGTCCTCAGGAGTCGTGAGTCAGTGAGGTTCTCGATTTCAATCATATGCACAGCCAAAAGAGTTCCAGGATGGCACAGCTTAAGTTGAAATTGCATCAGATGGATTTTTCGTGCCTGTAGCATCCATCTATCCTCCGAGGCTAGCAGCTAGCGGCTAGCACGTGAAACGAGCTCTTCTGTTCTTTAATTCACTGAGTTTGGGAACTCTTTTTGGGAGACACGTCTTCAGAAACCATTTGGGGACCCTCAGAAACCGGGGGGGCAAACCAGTGTGGTGCCTCGGGACCGTGATTGCTTGTGCTTTTTCAACGGGAGACGAAGATACATGCACTGAAAATACGTCAGGACCCCAGAAAAAAGAACAAGCAAGACCCCACCTTGACCCCTCGTTTCAACATAGACAGGTTCACTGCGCCCGAGGATGGAATCACCTCTGCACTGAACCTTGGACAGCCGCTTGGACGACAAACTTGGGCAGCGTGGGGGGTTGTTTGTGTTGCAAGTAGCATCTACTGAAATTTGAAAAGGTACACAGAAGTGGCAAATGCAGCAGCCAAGACCGGTTACTGTTGCGGAGAGGCGTTTTTTTTCTTCCCATTTTCATTTGCATGTGAGAGCTTGAATTTTGCTGGAAGGTAAGATTGGTTGGATATGTATCCCCATTCACATCGCTGTTTTCTCAGATTGTTTGCACAGTCGTTGGGTGCATTCCCATGTTAGGTGTTGCTTTCCTCACCGTGAGGTTGATTCGATCAGCTGGTTGCCTGGGGGTGACTTCCTTTGCCGCTTGGCACACTCGTAGGATGGGAACATGCTGGATGACATCATTGGATGAAATAACATGATTTTTGGAAGAACAGCTGTGACACGTTCCATGCGCGGAATACAAAAGACAAACTAGAACCCTTCAAAGCATTCAGTCTACCCCAGCAGGCTTCTTGCCTGCTTTGGTTTGGACCGCGATCGATTCGTGGCTTGGGGGGGGCTCGGCTTATCTCATCAAATCATGGCAAGTATCATGCAATGTGGTTAAGTACATCTCCGTCTCATTCAGATCATGTCTAATCTCCCCTGAAGTTCACTTCTGGGCGCAGTGCACCAGGTGGCCTCGGAACCCACCTGGTCGGCCTTCAACGGCCGCTTAGCTGCCCTGTCCGCCGGGGCAGCCTACCACGCGCGCGTGGCGCGCGCGCACGGCGGCACGGGTGGCGTGGTGGAGGTGCTCCAGCGGCTGCGGCAGAAAGGCTGGCGGCTGCTGGCAGCAGAGGAGTTTTGTGAGAAAACTCTGGCGGAGGCGTAGCTTTTTGTATGGATGGCTGGTTTGGTGGGCCTGGGATGCAGTGGGAAGGAATCTGAAGGGCAGCTTGGATCTCGCCTTTGAAGTTTGACCACAACACGAGCTAGGTGTTGTCCTTAAAACCTGGTTTCAGTGCAGATAGTGCGGATGAGAACTCTTCTTCAGAGTCCCTTTGTTCTGACGCCACTTGTCACTCCTCATCCTAGCAAGTCTGCGCCTTGTAGATTCTCGAATCACTTCGAGCAAGATCTCAACACAACGTGCCCATTGTGATTTCACAAATTTCATGTCAGCGACTACAGCTTCTTACCTGGCATCCTGATTGATTTTCAATATTTGTGGTGATCAAAGCTTTCATCCTGAATATAGCGTGCTCACTGTGATTTGCATGCTTGTGATATCAACAAATACAGCTGAATTACAAGCATCCTCATTGGTTCTTCACATTCGACCTGACAAGAGTTGCATCCCTTTACGTAAGGGTATTTAACAGCGTACCCATGCAGTTTTATGTCGACCTGCTGTGACTTTTTCACCACCCTGATGTGACTTACAGCCTTACCTTTGCAGCATACCCAAGGCTTGTAGATGTGACAAAAACACATTTTAAAACGTGAAGATGTGACAGAAAACTCCTCCCCAAACGTAGGTACGTGGTCCTTTTTTGAGGCCAATTCATCGGTTCCTCTTGTCTTTCCTCGTCCACCATCGGACGAACGCTCCGCTCCGTCCGTAGGCCTCGGTGGAAAACGACGGTCCGTGGGCCTTGGTCCTGGGCTCCTCGGAGATCTCCATGGTGCTGGGCGGATCCAACGGCGGATCCAACGGTGCTGTGTCAGGCTGAGACCTTCTTTTCTGAGACGTTGCTCCACATTCGGAGAGAGTCTCATGGAAAACTGCCATCAATGTGGGACAACACAGTAGTACTGTAGTCTAGCTGAATACTTCCCCACTGATCTTGGGGCCCTCCTTTCCTTATCGGTTCTAGAATCAAGACTCCAAAACAATTCTTCAGGAAAAGGAAGACATTATTTGTTTCAAGGCAAATTCCCATTCTCACCGAATTGGTTGATGCTTTGACCCACTCGCGCCCGTTTGCAGATGGACTGAACAAGCTCTAAAGAGCTGAGGCTCTGAAGAGCTGGGCGTGAGCCCCGAGGTGTTGCGGCTCTGCGAAGGTCTGCGTGTGCCGCAGCTGCGCGGGCAGTCGCTGAACGTGGCGGCCACGGGGGCCATTTGCCTCTACGAGCTCACGCAGGGAAAAAGGAAAGGGGTTTGTGTGTGTGGGCCTGGCGTAGCCCCTAGAGAGATCTGTGGGGTCTAAACATCTTTTCAAATCGATGGCTTGATCCCTAATCCTCAAGGATGTCCGAAAAATCTTAGAGTTCAACATCTCCAGAATCTTTGAAAGGATCGGTGTAGGAGTACAGGAGCAGAAGGAAGGAAGAGATGATTTGGACACGCAGCACCCATGCACCGTGCCTTCGAGCCTCGGCCTCGCTAGCTAAAGGCCCAAGAGGTCTACAACCTGCACTTTGCCGCTCACAGGCTTCTTTCTGTGCTGGCCTCAAGATCGAAATTGAGCTGCTTGGAAGGGTGAAAAGGAAATGGAGGCTCACATCATCTCATATCAATTTTATCTCAGGAGATTGTGCTAGCGACTTTGAATAATGCCTTCGATTTCTTTGGATCCAAGCATAATTATATACCTGACCCTGGTCTCTGCAATTCGTTCGAATCGTCCCTTGTATTAATAATCTTCTCAGCGGTTCTATTCGTCCCTTACTGTATCTCATCTCTCCTGGGAGTGCCCCATCACCCCGAAGGCCAAAGGGACGAACCTCCCTGAAGAGCCGGGGGAATACCATATGGAATACCTTGGACTGGATCATACAGCTGGATCCATTCCCTATGGTATTCCGTACAGGAGCAGCTCCAAGATTCCAACTTCGATGTTTTTGACAAAAGGCTTCAGCGCTTCCTTTCGTGAGGCTCCGGTCCCTGCTCCGGGCTTGGCGGCCGACGAGGTGCCGGAACCCAACGAACGGGCCGACCACTAGGTCGCTCGGTGACTGACCAAATACATGTGAATGGGTCAAGGGAAGGTCCCCTGTTTTTTGGACGTCCAGTACTGGTGTTTGACTCATTTTGATTGCTCCATTGACCGAAGTAAGCGAACTCATGTCATTTCAAGGTTTCACCTGCGCCCGTTCAAACATCCGGAACCCGAATCCGCTGGTGTTCGTCACTTTGCTTTATCAGGTCTCACCGGCGCCGGACACAAGGCCAACAGAGGTGCACCGAATTGGCACTTCAGACGCCGGGCTTCATTCCCGACATGTTCCAACACATGAAGGTCTCATTTGCTGTCATATAATATATAGAATCATAGTTATAGAATTTACATATAGTCATGTAACATGTAGTGTGGTAATGTGTGTTGCAATTCTGCTAAACTGAAGTGTCACTAACCTTGTTCTGTTAACGTGCTTGATTCTTTCTACAGACAACATGCACAAAGCCCATGTTGCAGTGGCGTGTTTCCACTTTTAAAGGCAATGGGAGGAAAGGTGGAGTGGACAAATCCAATCTGCAAAATCCGGCTCTGACCAAATCGTACCAGGCCTTTTCCTCTTCAGGCATGTTCGCTCATCTTTTCTGAGCTAACCTCCGTTTTCCAGGCTGGCACTCGAGTGCAGGCGAGAGAAGGACACCATGAGGGACCGGTTGGAGAGACACCCAACTCACGACCAGCACCACGTAGAACCCGGTGATGTGCACCTCCCAAACTTGGTGCCTGATGGTCGAATCCCCGGCGATTGACAGGGCCTGACAGGGCCGTGCCATCACAGGGCAGGAAACATGCAGCCAAGTCCAAGAATGCCAGTAAGGATGAGATATACAATGATGAAATATGATGAACAGTTTTCATGCAAAACTCATGGGGCATTGCGCAAAGCTCTGTGATGAACACGCTTTAGGTGGTTTTGACTTCAGGAACAGTTCGGGTTGACTGTTTGCTTGTTTTCCATGACCCACGCACATCCGGATTTGTTGCTGAGTGAGATCAAATCACCGGCCAACACGGCCAGTACTGTATCAAGAAATGAGCAACAGTGATGCTGGGGAGCCGCATTTGAACTGCAAAAAGACCCTGACACCAGGGGTCGCAGACCGGGTGCGACTGCCCATATCGATGCACGTTGACGAAGCACGCTCACTGCCCCGACAGCCAAGTCAGGCCCTGCCCAGTTCAGTGCTGTTGGGGGACCAAGCCTTTTGACTCGTTGAATAGCCTAAGAGTCTCTTTGGAGAAGACTGTCTTGGACACGAGGGTTGTTCATTCACCGACTGCAAGTTTCTTTTAGAGGGGAAGGCCCAAGGCCAATATCATTTGTGGGCTGAACTTGACATGCGACTTTCTTCAATCTCTTACTGATTTCTCTTGAGGCTAAATGAGACTTGAGATCCAGTGGCAGGATCTTCAGAGCAAAGAACATCACAATGACTTAGTGACTTTAGTGGATGGGAGTTCGTTCATCCAAGGCTCATGCTGGCCCATGGGTGTCTCTTCATCATCCCGCACTTTTCATCGAACTGTTGATCACATCGCCGCCCTCTTTTTGATCCCGGGTTCCCCCAGGTCAGCACCAGGTCAGCCATATTCATGGTATATTTATGGTGTCATTTCTTTTTGCAACAAGTTCACGTTCTCCTTTTCGGTAGGCTTTGGACACACCCACGGATTGATTGGTCACGTTTCACCCCCACCCATTCACCGACTCATACCGAAGTGTGAGGTCACCCTGGCTGCAACGGCATCCCATCTTGGGGCCGGTGCTGAGTACGGATCTCAGGGCAGGTCAGGTGTCTTTTTTGCGAAGCCGGTTTTGAGTTCTACTGGGAGCTACTTACTTGAGGGTGCTTTGAATTTTGGAGCCAAGCACATGGATAGATGATGATAGATGGGATATGACTGGATGAGTCTGGATGAGAGGATATGAGAGGCGAGACTTTTTCGGGTCACCGTCACTCAGAATTCCCAGTGGTTTTCCAATTCTAGCAGAGACCCCCTCCAACTCCAGCTCTCCCGCCCAGGCAGATTGGAGGTGCAGCTGCGGTTGCTTTTGGGATTCGCCAGCGTGATTGAAGCCCCAAAGATCCTAGAGGTTAAACTCAACCACATCACAATCATTTGCGCGCAAACGGTAACATTCCGTGGTTGTTAACAACAAGATACAGCAAGAACCGTCCGTCTTTTCTTCTCCACAGACTCCAAAGTCACCGTCCAAAGAACACATCACCGTCCAGAGACGTCGCCCCTGTCCCCTGGGCGACGAAGACAGGTCGAGCCGGAGAGCGGGCTGGAGGAGTGCCTCGGTTAGAAAAGCCAAGCGCACAGACGAAACTCTGTCCGAGAATGACCGATACGGGTGAGGAATCACAGTTCTGGTCCAACATCCGCCAATATCCACCAACATCCAGATGTTTATTATTCATTTTTTTAACTTTCCGTTGGTCCATTGGTCCCTCATGTTTGAGGGGAAATTCAGTATGTTGAAGCAGCATGGTTTTCTCAGCGACGTTGCTGGTGCTTCACCTCTGTCAGATGGTGCTTTCTTTTCGGCTTTCCCTCGATATGGATGGTGGGGGGATCCTCAGATTTCTGCAAAACCTTGAAAAACTAGAGCAAACGGTTTGGACATGGAAGGCTACGTTTGACCCCACCCTTTAATGTCCTTTGGTCCTTTAACCGTTCAACATCTGCGAGAAGGCTGACATGTGGGAACACGCGAATCTTTTCAGCAATATTTCCCAACAGTCTGAGCCAAGGCTGGATTTGGAGATAGCTTGCGTTCTTTTCGCTCGATTTCTTTGCTGCAAATGCTTTCCGCCGCATCGCACACCCATGGTGTGAAACAAGCGCCCGAGGTGTGAAGTGGCCACCCCATCGACGCGCAAAGGGATGGCCTCCAGGCGCGTCGTCCCGAAGTGGAGGAGGACGAGGACGACCCTTCAGGGGGTTGGGGAAGCTGCTTTTTCGGAAGGTCTGGATGAAAGGGTAAAGACATGGTCGACCTTTGGAAAGGCATGAAGAAGAAGGAGCTTTGCATGGGTTCGTCTCATTCCCCCGGAAAGCGTCGGTATGGAGATGCAGCCACATCTAAATACATCTAACACGTTCTAACACCTCGAGTTGTAGACACTGGAAGAATAGGCGTCCAGGACCCCAAGGGTTGAGGGCTTTGCAAGGGTCAGCCGTGTTTCTGGGTGTACAGTACTTTGGTACACTCACCAGTTGGATCCTTTTCACGTGAACAGGCGGAGAGGGACCAAGCAGGTCAAGCAAACTAATAAAGTTGGAATCAACGCATCTAAAACGGATGCACGGAGAGAACGGAGATGCTGATCTTCACTGAACAACTCGGGCAGCTCAAGATATCAAGTGAACATTTCGCAGTAGCTTCCTGGAAGGGTAATATGATGTTTCTTCTGAGCTCCTTACAGAGCTCCACCATGTTGGAAGACCAGATGTGTGCAGGATTTGCTTGCCTGGTGTATACTTGGATGCCCGAACTTCTGCGGTTTTTCGGACCTTGATCTGTGATGGTGTTTCTTGGGCGTATCGTTTGTGCCAAATCTTGACCATCGTTTCGTGAGACGAACTTGTTCTGATGTTTTGCACCTGCGGCACGGCACCTGCGGCACGGCACCATCGCCATTGACCGGACCTGATTTCTCAGAAGAACATCGAGGAAGAAAGGGTGTGTATTTGGCCACTTGAGGGAACACCTCTCTTCGCAAGCACGGACTGGACCACTTTTGCAGGTCACCGTCACACAGAGCGGAGGCACGACCACATTGGATTGACGTTATGCAGAGTTGAATGTTTCTTAACCGGTTTCCTGTAAGATGTCTTACACCAAGCAAATATACTGGTTTTGGAGTTAAACCACCGTCCTGGAGGATGTTCGCAGTCAAACAACCCTACATCATCCTTGATTTCGCTCCTTTTCAAGGAGAAAATTCCTTTCTAAGAGTCATGTCGGATGCGGAGAAAAAGAATCTCTACCTCCCCAGCCCTAAGAATCAGGGACACCACGGAATCACCGTTGATTCTTTTTCAAAAAGAGTGAGTTGCTTCTTTCCCACCTGTTTGGGCCGAAGTCAGTTCTGAAGCAAGTCAAGATTGGGGTAAGTTCTCCACACCTGTGTGCAACAGACCATGGGGTTTTCTCATTTTCGTCGACCAGATCTTTGGGTGGATGCCCACAAGACACGTTTTCAGTGCTGCTGTTTGACGAAGAACCGCATTGCGCATGATGAGCATGGGCCTCTACCTGTGCAGCATCGCGCACCGAGCTTGTATCTCTGCAGCCATTTAATCTCTCCACAGTCTAAAGCACTTGAATCAGCCAAGGTCGCGAACACAGCAACACTTTGACAATTATAGTCCCCTCAACATACCGCTACCACTCGTTTTACTTGGGCCACTCAGATTTTATGATTGAACATAATCTTCCTTGGACTCTATTGCAGTGTTTGGCATTCGGGAACAATCCTTACCCTGCCACCATTAATTAAGCAGAATGGCTTCAAGGTTTCAAGGAGTGTCAGGCTGCCTAATTTGGTGACTTTCAGCACCTCTTTAGTTTATCGACATACGATGATGTTGCATATGCCTTCGGATACTTTTGGATCATCCTGATGCTGGAGTGCGCACAAGGATCTGAGATGATCACCTTCGGATAACAAGGGCACCACAGAAAAAACACATGCATCACCTCATCTTTCTGCGGGTCGATGATGATGTCAAAAAGCTACTGAGAATCCATCGCCGCCAATTGGTCCAACCTTTCAAATCCAACTGTTGGAGATCCTTTTTTTAGCGGCAAAAGGGCGCACACCGGAAGCAACCCCTTTGGTCGTCGCAGCGGCACGGGCGCACCGCAGCGTTCCTTTCGTCTCTGTCGCCATGAAGCTGGATGTGGGGGCACCTCAGAGACTGGCATGTGTTTCGGAGACTGGCAGATCAACATGTGTTTGCGTGAAGGTTTGAGACGGGGTCATGTGGTGAATATGAATATGTATTTGGCGACAGTATAGAAATACAATTGAATACATGGCTATGCAATGCTATGCATCAGATACATGGTCAGATACACTATGATACACTTGAGAAGGATCCTGCCGGGGTTGGCAGTAACATCACCCCATATCACCCCTCGGACTTTTGTTGTCGGAACGAGTTCTCCATGCAGGTGACCATGTTCCGGTACATCACCAAAGAGGAGTTCCGTGTGCTCACAGCGGTAGAGATGGGAATGAGGCCTGGAAGCAACCCACATGCAAAGGAGCGTTGTCACTTTGCGAAGCTAAGGGAAAACAGGGATAGGGCAATTTGAGGGTGTTGGATGGGATAGTCGTAAACAACTACAACGACAAATAATTACAACAACTACAACTGCAACTACAACTACAACTACTACCACTACTACTCCTACTCCTACTACTACTACTACTACCACCACCTACTACTACTACTACCACCACCACCTCCTACGACTACTACTACTACTACTACTACTACTACTACTACCCATGCCCATCATCACCCAAACCAAGCCCCTCAGAACTAAGTTGCTGCACGAGGTGAAACTAACGAGGCGAGGCAATATTTTCCAAACCGTTTATAGCGATGCGAGGTGCTAAACCCCGGGATGCAAATTCCAAAGCAAGGGACACGAGGTAAGAATGTGGGTGTGGTGGACGTTGGAGCACACCCAGCAAACTTGCCACTAGTCCTACTCCTCACCTCCTCAAGTAAGGTTGGCCAAGGTTAGACAAGGTTGGCCCAGTGACGGCCAGTATTGTTCCCCTTCTAGCTAGTCAGGCTTTGACTGGTGCACCATAAGAACCTTGGGAAGATGGATCAACGGAGGATCAGTTTGTTGCAAGATTCTCTTGAAATTCTTTGAGCTCCGGAACCCCAAATACCAATACAACAAACATAACAACACTTGTTCCCCGCAGGAACCCTTCAGAACAACATGGTTGCGCACTGGACTTTACTAGTAGCAGAATCGTTTTTTGTTTCAGAATTTCCTCGTTGGAGAGGCTGCGTCTTTTACCCTCTCCAATTTGCCAGGAATCATGAACACGTGCCAGCACCATTGATCGAGAACATCTCCAAGCTCAGTGGGCGGCCCCTGCGACCGCCAAACGACTGGGGTGCTCATGTGTCCATCCTGACTCGTTATTTGGAATCCCACGGGAACAGTGGGACAGGGGAAAAGAATCACTCACCATTCTCAATAACTTTAGTGCAAACTCAATGATCCCTGAGGCAAGAAACTGCACCAAGAAGGGTTTGCAAGGTCAAGAAGAGGCAGTCCACCACAAGGTTTCACCCAAGCGACTTCGTGCACAGCGGATGATCAGCAAAGGAGCAGAAACCAGTAACCCACTCAACCTGGAGGTGCCCGCAGTTGTTACCCAGACTTGCTCATGAGGGAAGTCTGTGCACATGCAAGCGCATGGAACAGTTCAGTCATTGTTTGGGCAGTTTGGTCATTGCACCCATATCTAGTACCTCGATGTAAGAGTAATTTGGATTGAAATGCAGAAATGCCTTTATCAAGTGACGTCTCCTTGAAACTCTTCAGAACTTGCCAAAACAACTTGCAGATCTTGCAGTTTGGGTCTCCCAACCTCTCCCAACCTCTCTCCAGGTCGGAGCCTTTGCTACAAGACTCTGCAGACCTTGCTGCGGAACAAGCGCCTCGGACCTTCGGACGCGCTCCGTCGCTCCGTTGCCCGCCTCGGTCCAATCCGCTCGGCTCCACCGAAGCCGATTGGGTCGGGCGAACCGAGGCTGGTGGGGCATGATGGTGCGGAGCTCGGTAAGAGCTCGGCATGAGCTCGGCATGGCCTTCTGGTCGGAGAGGAACTCCACCAACTGGAGGAGAACGGCTCAAAATGGTCCAAGGAGTAGGGCAAGAGGGTGCCATACTGGTTGATATGGTGTTCTTTTGGATTGACCATCAGCAGGTTTCTATTGAAAAAGGATGACAAAAGACCATCATGATTTGCCATCAAAATCCACACACTGCCCTTCCAAAGGGTAAATCTGTCGAGCTGTGTGCGGTGATTTTACAAGCCAAATCATGGGTTTGTCTGTAGGTTTTACCGAAGCCCAGCTCAGCTGTGACTTGAATAATCACAACATGTTATCCGGAGAGATGACACGGGATGAAACGATTCTTAAGGTCTTATATATTTTAACCGTTATGTTTTTTATTCCTTCGTCCTTCGATGTCGATCAATGTCGTTTTTTTCTTTTATCGATGACGCAGGTGACTGATGTCGGTGATTTGGGGGATCACCAGCCTCGTGGCCAGAGGGGCTGTCGGAGGTCTCACGGCCAGAGGTGCCTGCGAAACACCCAAGGCCAAAGCTACGATGGTTGGCGGCTCACCTACCACGGCTATGACTTCCTGGCCCTTCGGGTGTCCTGCCTGCGAACGGAATTCTGATTGTTAGACATGCCTGACACCAGGCAGCTATAAGGAGGGGTGAACTCCCAGTAGACTGTGTGGTTGACCTAATATACTGCACTCACTCTGTGTCGTTTGCCAGCACATACCGGCTTTTCTACACGAGGAAGGACACCCCTGCAGTGGCAGAATCCTTGGACAGGCTCCGGGACATATCGTCCAGGTCTCTAGAAGCAAAAAGGGCCTCCACCAAAGCTGGGAGCTTGTGTCCCTCCACCGGGGTTTTGCTGCGGCCCAGGCCTTTGGGGTCCTTCGCGACGCCCGCGCGAAGCTGAGGCCCTGGCGGCTCGCGGCACCATCACGGCCGTGGGGCGGCGCTTGGGCGTCGGGGGGTCTCAGAGATCGTGGGGAGGAAGGCAGGTGTGATCGCGGATCAATCTCCTAGTGGATTTTCCATGATCTTGTACAGACTGAGAACTCACATCCAGAGATTCCCTTGTCACTGGTTTTTATCATGTTTGATCCATATTCTGAAGTTGCCATTCAAAGAGTTGTTGGCCACTGGGCCGGGGTCCTTGTCCCAGGTGCCTTTGAGGACTTCTCCAGCGTTTGCTCTGTTTTGTTTTCGCCCAACGGAATGAGTCCGGTCTTTTGCTGCTTTCGCTGGTCGTTCGTGCCTCAAAATGGCTCACTGAACCGAACACCTAGCGCTCTACGCGTCCAAAAACCATCAAAACGCGCTCCCCACTCTTGGGACGCCAACATCTGACAACAGGACCTTAAGATCCATTTCAGCTGCAACGATTTCTTTGGGTGACTGTGGAAATGAAGGACAGCTGGGCCAGTGTCAAGTAGATGGGCAGGAGCTCGATGCGTTTTCAAGCCAAGTTTGTTAAAACCATCGCCAATGACTGTTGAGCCAAGCCGTGATGAAGCTGCCTGCGTGCATTTCACACCTTTGAGACGATTTGAGACGCCCATTGATGCAAAGGTGGGCAAAGAGAGTGACGTGCACTACGCTCAGGTGCGGGTGGAAGCATGCATGCTCATTGGGCCCAAATGGTCTCAGTTTCTGTGGCGTCCAGCCCTTAGGCCTTTCAATGTAGATACCCTTTCCTTCTTTCATCGAACACATGCAGCAAGGCTGCACGGCTTCCAGGTCATCATGATAAACATGGTCGCCACCTCTTCTTCATTGTCCAGTTCATGTTGTCCTCCAGCTCTTCTTCTTGGAGCCCTGATGACCTCCAACATCCGACCGCGGCTTCCGACCTCCAGGGCCCTGATGGTGAATTGGTGGCCTTGAAGCTGCATCGGCTCGGCTCGGGGCCCGGCAGAGGGCGCCTGGCGCAGAGGATAGATGGCGTGAGGGCGAGCATGGCTGAAGTCAGCGAATTGGCTGAAGTCTTGGAAGACCCCGGCAGCCGGACCCCTGAGAAGGGGCCCAAAATAGAAAGCAATAGAAAAGACACGACACGACCCAATGGTTGAGTTGAAGGGTTTCCCTAGATTGAACATGATTGAACATTTCCACTTCGATCTTGAGCTTCCGATCCACTGGGCTTCCGTCAAGGTCATCCGATCGCCCAAACCGGCCCAAACGGGTGGAGCCAGCCGAGTGGCCAGGTCGAATCAGCTTCCGGGCCATCAAAGAGAAGCGCGACTACCTGAGGCCATTCGACAGACCGGGTAAGACGACTTCCCTGTGAGATGTTTTCGTGCAGTCACGAATTGCTAACGAAAACACTTCTGATCTCTTCAAGGTCAGGTTATCCTGGTGCTGTTCAAACCTTGTCTTTTCACATGTTTATTGTATACCTGGAACCCATTTGACCTTTGTTTTGATAGGAAAAGGCCATATTTTGGGTGGTTGGTGATCCAAAATAGAGGTCATTCAGGTTCTAGGTATATATACTATATATGTACTTAGTCTTTTGTACCACGTTTCACACGTTCGCCCTTCTGGACAGGCACCGCGTCCATGCGAGCTGGATGTACATGGCGAAGTTGGCCGCTGCCAAGGAGTTCGCATACATGAAGGCTTTGAAGGCGCTGAAATCGATCGAATCGATGGGAGCGATGGAGAGAACAGCGCAGCTTCGTGCTGCTGCCTGGGCGGGCTCCGTGCTGGGCAGCGCCTTCAGAGTGAGATGAAGATGGAACGGTCACGTCCCACTTCCCCTCATTGGTAGATGGAACAGTAGAAGGCTGAACTGGACTGGACTTGATTGTTTAAACTTTATCTTGGGATTCTTGGGATCAATGATTCTGCGACGAAGACCCCTTCAGAGACCAATGGAACCATCCTCATCACCTGCCAGCAGCTTTCATTTGGCTTCAAATTCCACACTGCTTGGCCTGGCTGATTCTTAGACAGAAGGCTTTGGAAGACCATGAACACAGTTCACCAGGTCACCATGTGACTCCTGCTCTGATTCTCGAAGTCCTCAGCTTTTCTCTTGGACCATCAGGAGGTTCAACAGCACGTTCTTTGGTTCTTTTCGAAGCAACGCCAGGATGAGGGCTTCCCAGTCCCCAGCCCCATCGATCAGAACCGGCACGTGGTGGTGATGTCCTTTGTGCCTCGGCGGCAGGTCTGACCATTCGTCCGTTCGTCGCCTCCGATCGGAAAGTCCTCCGAGTACAGTCGAGGTCCTCCGAGTTCGGATTCCACCGGTGGGATGCACCCCCTTTTTCATCCCTTTTTTCATCCCTTTTTCCGTGTTTCATCCCGCGATTCTCGTTGGGATTTGTGGCGAAACTGGGAGGGGGAAGCTACTGGTACCTGGTGCGAGGATCTACCCGTACTGATGAGGAATGAGGAGGGAAACATGGTGCCCTTGTCACTTGTGCACATGATGCAAACAACAGCGGCACTCCAACAACTCCCTCAAATGTAGAGGCTGCAGGCTCAATCTACACAATGGATCACAATGGCAGGTTTGAGGATCGCATCTGCTGGGGCAGACTCTGGTAGACTCTGAAGAAAGCTACTTTTGCATCAATCAACCAATCCATCGTCAAATTAGCCTTGTCCCAAAAGAGGCCTTCTTCGCACAATCAAAAACCAGCTTCGTTGGTTCTTTGCCGCGGTTCACCTGATCCTCCACGGAGAACGCCGCCGGAGAAGTCTGGACAACGCCACGGACAAAGGTGCACGCCACACCACTCTTCCAGATCCGCAGCCTGCAACATCCTCACCAGGTGCTTCCTGCGCGCGTGGGCGTGCGGTGGTGCCCGAATGTCCACTGCAGAGGGCTGAAACTGTGGCGAAGCTGGTGCAGATAGAGCAGATAGATGCGCTGGCTGGGCTGGATTCTCAACGGTTGCGCACTGGCAATTGTCTTTCTTTTATTTTGAGAACTCCTTGCAGATACTTTAAGACGGATGATAGTGCTCCAGGCAGCCGTTTTGTCTTGAGCCACCGGACTTGGTACAGCTGTAGCGGTGTCTCTCCCCAAAACATCCTATAAATATTGACTGCTGACTTATTGACTGCTGACTGCTCACCAAAGAGAAGTGGACTGCACATTTGGCTGCCGAGTACTCCTTTGCTTGGGGAGAATGTTGAGGAGTGTATGTAGAACATGTGCAGATTCTGAGATACTATCAGAAAAGATTCTGGAACACTGGAACACCGTTGTTTGAGTCTAAGAAGTTGTCCTACATTACATAATTCTTTGACCAGAGCATTCTTGTTTGGGAAGACCTCCGTGGCAGTGGACAGTAGTTTGAAGATCCAGCTACGCTGTGATGCCACTAGTGAAGCTTCGTAGGCTGACAGTTTTCATCCTTTTTCTGGGCCAACCCATCAGTGACACGTTCCCTCCCCACATCCCATGGAATGAAACACCTCCTTCTTCAACCCGTCCACCCACATCGCAGGTCTTGGAGCGACTCATGCGCCTGGTAGTGAGGCGAAGCGGCGAAGCGAAAGCCGCGGGTCAGGGGGGCACTGGTGCCCCCCTGGCCGCCGGGGGAACCGGGATGGGATGAAAGTTGGGGTGACCATGTGAGTGGATGTGACCTGTGCGGCACGAGGGGTCGGAACGTTGGATTCGAAGTCTCACAACCATTTGAGCAGAAACATCCTTCAGAAGCCCAGTTCATATTGCCGCTACTGTACTAGTGGAATGGCGTTTTCTCATGGAAGGTGCGTCCAAGGATCGTGGGATATGCGCCAGGCTTCTTCGAGCAGGGATCGTTCACGGAGACTTCAATGAGTTTAACCTCATGCTTGACCAGGCCGTGATCACAGCATGACAAAGCTCGTGGATCACACATGCGTTCTTACAGAAACAGATTAAGGAAGTGGGGGTAGTCGGTAAATTGATGTGCAATAGATTAGATCTCAGCCTCAGGGGCTTTGGTTGGGATTTGTGGAGCATCCACCAGGTTTTGTGCACATCAAAGCCGCATGCACGCTTCATATGATTCATCATGTCTTCACAACGTCACCGAGAATGGAGTGCGCAAGTTTGTCCAAAAAAACATTTCCGCCTTGCCTTAACTTGATTTGTTGCAGCTGCATCTTGGCACCTAAGCGACTCGACTGTCATGGGCTTTGAGATCCAATATTGGTAGCAGAGTTTCAATTTCAGCGCAGATGCATGCAGACCATTTGTTATTGGTGCTAGGGTGCAGGGTTTTGGATTTGGGTTTTAACAGGTCTTAAGGCCAACCGTTTTGGGGTTTAGTCTCTTAGGGTTTTTATTGTGGGTGTTCATTACATCCTGATGCATCATCATGCAACCTTTGCGATGCTTCACCTTTGTCTTTTGTTTGATTTTGTGTGTGTTTGAATCTAGCAAGAATTTGAATTTGGCCCTCAGATCGGTTGTGAATGGTTCATGACATGATCTACTGACGCAGACTGTGTCAGGTAGCAGATGTGTCTGGTTAAGCTTAACAGCTTAACAGCTTACCCCATGTGTTCCGATGTGGACCCCACACCCATCCAGATCTGACTGGCCAGAGCTGGTCCAGGATGAGAAGATCACTCTCATCGACTTTCCACAGATCGTCTACAACAACCACCCCAACGCCGAGGACGAAGATGCCACGCCGAAAGGTGGCACCCCCCGCAAATCCACCCCAACACCAGAGGTGGAAGGTCCTGCGGTCGGTTGAATCTTCGAACTCAGCTTAGAAGTTGCGTGGGATCAACAGAAACCATATGACATCCTATGGTTCAAAAGAACAGACTGGGTTCGGTCGCCCCCAAGCTCTTGGTCCTGATTATCTTTTGCCCAGAATGGGTGGTGGGCTCAAAGTTGTGTTTGCTACTGACCCAAGATGTGAAGAACATAAGCTTCGGATTTGTACGTTGTTTCAGTTTCATGTTCACGCAGGTGTCCGTTTTGGAAACATTGTCAGTTCAGGTCTTCTGACAAAAGAGTCTTCACCATGCATCGCTGGCTCGGTTGCCGCCTTTATAAGGTAGTTGTCTGGTTTTGCACGTCATTGGATCATTGAAACACCCTGGGTCCAGGGCCGTCCACAAGCAGCAGACTTTCAGATTCCAAGCTGTCATTCTTAAAGCAAACCAGAGACCACCTTAGTTCGTGCAGTTCTCCCTTGTTTGAGGGACATCTTCGCCCATCCATGATCTCCAGAGGTGAGGGACAATCAGAAGTAACTACCAAGGTCTTAGATGAGTTGCCGATGGGGAGATGGGTACACTCATCAAACCCATCAAAGGGGTTTTCGGGGTGAGTGAGCAACTACCATGGAATGATGACACTCATCAAACCCAGGGTTACTCACCATTTTCACCATCCCTCCATGCTCTGATAACTCGCACTAACTCGGCCGCAGGAGTTCTTCGACCGCGATGTGCGTTCGGTCGATGACCCAGTCAGAGCGTGATTTCGGGGGTGGAAGACCGGGCCATATGCACAGCCCTTGGTGTTTGGGAGGTGGTCACCGGTGGTGGCTCATCACATCAAGCCCAGTCGTAGGTCAAGCGAGTGGTGTGAAGGTTTTGCTGCTGAGTAAGGGTAGGCTTGTCCCTCAAAGCCAGGCAGACCTAGGTGAGGAGAGAGACAAAAGAATGGACACCAGATTTGCACACCCAGACTGGAGCAGTCATTTTATACGCAGTTCACCTCGGCTGGTTTGTGAATGCACATCAAACTACGAAGGACACCCAGCGCCAGTCTGACGCATTTGGAAAGAAGTATCTATGACCGACAGATGTCAGGAACCGGTGTTAGCACATGTGCATATGCTCAGTCCCCTGGCTTGTGAGGTTGCCTTATTTTGATCCCATGAATACTTCCGTCCCCCAAGCGGCTTACCATGTTGTGGCGGCTCGCCGCAGATCGTGGAGTTCTTCCGGAAGCGGATGAACATCGAAGCAGGGACGCCTGAGCCCGTTCAGTGGATGAGACTGTGTGGTTACAGCCTCTGGAGGGGCCCTCCTGAGCTCCGAATCAGGTCCAAGAGTTTCCCATCTTTGCAGAGGCGCGCGGCTGGGGGGCGAAGGTGAACACCACTTCTTCCCTGCTTGCATGGCTAGAAGCAATGCAGGCATGCGCAAAGAAGAAAAACAAGACTTGTTGGGTTCAGTGGACAAGTTAACCACAGTTAGTCAGTGGTTGTCAGGTTCCTTTGACTTGAGGGGACTCCAAAACTGCAGCTTCCACGCAGGCGCTGGAGGATCCCAATGAGACCACCAATGCCCTCAAGGTGCTGGGGAGAGTTGAGGAACGGAGAGATTCTTGGTTGGTGGAAGAAGCTTGTGGCCAGTCCTGTTCCAGACTATATACTTTGTTTCTTTTTGTTGTTTTTCAGGGATTGTAGTATGTTGTAGTGATGTTCTATGAACAATTCTCAACTTGGAGAGTCATCATTCTTTGCCTTTGCCTTTACTGGTCAAACAAACAGGTCATATCAGCTCGAGCAAGTCTAGAAGGAACGACCCCAGCACCCTGTGGGCCCAGGGTGGGTGGGCTACACTGGCCCCGACCTGACCAGACCGGTCCGAGACGAGTCGCACCGGCCGACGTCTCCGTGAGGTGCCCGACTTCAAGGACGACGCTCTGCTGGTGTGGATCCTCCGGCGACCAGGGCGAGGTAAGACATAACGAACACATGGTAAGGGTGTCCAGATTTTTCATTTAAAGCGGTGTTTGGTTTTTGGATTGGTTGCAGGGCAATCCAGCTGCCCCAGATTCTGATCAACATGGTTTGTTACCAGGCAATCACCACGAACAATTTTCCGCACAAGGTCGCTGCTCATGAGCAGAGCCGACAGCGTGGAGACGAGCCTCCAGAGGAGCCGACCAGTTTGTCGCGATGGTGTTTGTGTTAGTAAAAAAAGCCTACTGTCTGTGCTGCTTCTGTGAACAATTGTGAACATCTCAATTTCTATCAATTTCTCATGATAAACCTTAAACTAATCATAACTTGCTGCAAGTTCCGATCCATTCAGACCTTCAATGGACCCAACACGCCCATTGGTGTTTCTGGCGTATGAGCTCGTTGATCCTTTACCAATTAGCCCCCACAAATGCATGTTGGCTCCAGCAAAATGCCCCAAGACAACACCAAGACTCTTAGACAGAAAGACCAGCAACTAAAAGCAACTGTTTTGTACTGTAGCTGACACATTTGTCAGCTTGTCTTTGCCCACATCACTGAGAACCGCCGAGACGGGGTGTTCCTGGCCCAAGAACAACCGCTTGTACAGGACGACGAGGACGAGGATGAGGTGCCAGCCGAGGCGTGAAACTGGGGGAAGAAGACAAACACACCGAGAAGCCCTGTGGAAAAGGATCCGTGAAAACGGGGGGATTTACGTTTGGCATTTCGCGTTCTGGTTCTTTTGATGAATTGGTGGATTTGAAGTTGATTGTTCCAAGGCAAAAGACTCCATGACGAGCTTAGGATTGGTGAGAAATGTATCCTAAAGCTCTGGCCCTCGAAGTCACTGGGGCGTGGGTTGCTTGATACACGTGCTGAGAAAGGTGGAACGTGTCAGCAATAAAATGCAAGAAAAACTATATTCGGATATCAAAGGATACAAAGGGGAATAGATGAGTGAGTGCTTCCCTTTGCATTATCCGGATTCAAAGAACTTTGGGACCCTCAGACCAAGATGGGCAGTGATGACAGGTCAAGATATTTAGCATCATTTTTGTTCGTCCTTGGCGGAGGTAATACACTTCCATACAACATGCGTTAGACTGGTCCATCTTTTTGAAAGGCCCTCAATGTCTTTCAAGCGCGTTTCCAAAGGCGAGATTCTTCTCCCGCCGTTCTTTCCAGCACAAAACATCAACCTCTGAGTTTCTGGGTGTCATAGACTGAAGCGCCATGTCCAATCCTGAACAAGAATGAACGCCTGCATAGAAACCTCAGGCAACACAGTGTGTTGATGTTTTTCGTGCAAAGATGCCCAGAGACGTTGGATTGAGAGAGAGAGAGAGAGTTAGTTGTGGTGGTCAATGGGTATCGACTCGCTTTTCCTGGTCCACCTGGGACCGCCCCTGTCGGCTGTCGTGAGACCGACCGACCCTGGGCCACACATCTCAGCATCTCTGGTGGACAGGAAGCTGGAAAGGAGCCCTTTCAGCCTCCTCCCAGAACAGAGGATACGGAGGCGATGACCAAGATATGGCAGATATGTGCGATGAGACTGATTGCATTTGCTTCACGCAACAAATGAGCCACCAGGGTCACCACAATAACCTTGTGCTTAGCATTGGAGCTACAACCTAAACCTCTTGGTTCGAGCTTGGAAGGGGACTCTACACTGCGGTTAGCAGCAGACAGGACTGTTCATGAGCCACACCGCACCGTGCTAGCTCTTGTTATGACTAGCCTCAACAGGTCATGCACACCTGCTTTTAGTGAAGTGGAAAACAGGTTTCATAGGTTCTGTTGATTTAAGCGATCATGATTTCTCGCGGGATCGCCAGAGCCTTTGAGAACCACAGGATTCAGGATGTTGGATTTGACAGATAACAGAACCCACGGAAGAGACCTGAAGAGATAGACATACTAGGCGTCCTTGCTCCTAGTAGTAAGGCCAAGATCCTAAGGTCCAAAGCTCGGTTTGTAGGATACTTCTCTCGACGTCGGTGACGTCGGTGACTTTCATGTGTTTCACCGGTGTCTTTCTGCTGCGCCTTGATGCGCCATGTATTGAAGACTTTCCACCAATAGACTCAGGATTATAGATGGATATAGGACATGCTCTTCAAAAGGATTTGAGAGATTCTAGTGATTCTGGGCTCTAGATCAATTAGTTTGTACATCTCGCTGGATGTCCATTCTGGCCGACCATATAGCTCTTCGAGACCGGGTACCACGGATTCTTTTTGGAGCGACTGAGGGCTTCCAAGGGCTTCTCAACGAGGGTGGGCGAGAAGCACTCAAAGAGGACTGTGGATGGATCTGGCAACTTGGGAGGGAAACACCTGTTTTCAGTTAGAACGCACAGACACACTCGCTTTTCCCTTTGGTTTGTTCAGACAGAATGCCCGGGTGGAACTGCCCTCATCTGTATCCCCCGGCCTCGCAGGAGCAGAAGCCGAGCCCAAATTCTCTGAAGCGAGCCCGTTGTTTAATGTTGTTTATACATATCCTTTCATGCTTTTTCAGTCTTCAGGTTCTCATACATCCAGAGAATCCAGAACTCTGGCCAGATTCTAGACATGCATTTAGTGGCGGAAGGTTTGCTCTCTGGCTAGCTAGCTCTTCCTTCTTGAAACATGTTTTTCAACGTCCAGAAGTTGGCCTCCTGTGATGGTCGGTTCAGTCCACGAAAAAGCCGGTTGGACAGGACTGCCAGCTGGATGAGGTGCGAGTCGAGGGAGGGGAGTCAGAGCTGGATGAGGTAGCTCTGAAGTCCGATCTGAGGGGACCGGTGTGGTGGTAGACGTCCTGAAGATTCCTCAAGGCGAAGAAAGGCGTCCCTTTCCACTCAAAAGGTGCCAAGGGTTGACTCACGTTGCAAGTGGCCAGTAGGATCCAATAGGTCAAGATGTGTAACAATACATGTCGACATGGTTCAGTGTTTGCCATACTTGGGATGAGCCGACATCCTGTGTGAAGCCCTGCCCCTTCAGAGTGCCTTTTCCGGCAGAGGTCCTTCAGAGTGGCTCAGCTGCAGGAGAGGGTAG